TGTCTTACTATAACTGTAAGCTACTTAGATCCAGCCTACTAAAGAGGCATAAAAGTACCTGTAATAAGCAAACAAATAAACAAATAAAGCTATTTGTATAAGGTAACTTTCTTTTATTAAAACTGTTTTTTAAAGATTGAGGAGATTATTTTGAATTTGGATCCAAGGAGCTACTTTTCATGCATGATTATTTTTTAATTAAAGTGGTTGGATTAATGATCTTCTGAAACTTTTTAGCCATCAGGTTGTCCTTAACCTGCATCAAAATGGCTTTTTGAAAAATCTATTATTTTCTAGAAAAGTCTGCCAGCAGATGTAAGGTGGCAAATAAAAGGTGAAGTCTTCATCAGCTGAGAACTACATAGATATTATTGGTTTCTAAATGAATAAATACACTATTTCAGATAGAAGATAAAAACTATTTACAACAATGCTAAACAAATCTTATTTAGATATATACAGGGATCCAAAGAGTTCAGTTAAATTTTCATAAGGGACATGCATCAGCTTGGATGACTAAACACAAATGTACATTACTAAAAATAGAACTGGGACTTAAACTTCCAGACTCAATATTTTAAAACTACAAATTCATATTGACAAAGAAAGCTATTGTTTCCTAATTTTGTTTGCCAAAAAAGTGGGTTTTGAAAATAAAATAATTACACCAATCTCACCTCCAGCTCCTTGAGGTAGTTAACAGTTGTTTCTTGTCTCATTAATATTACTAAATCATGAGGATGTTTCAGGTTCATTGGTGAGTCAACCTGCAATACAGTCCAAAATAACCACTGTTGTAATTTTTCTTTCAAACTTTTTTGCAATAAATCCTTTTGAATAAATCTATCCTAGCCTAGTAAACACACTGTAGCATACTGAGAATGATGAACACCCCTGGGCCTGTATCAAGGACTACTTATATGCTGGCTTTGGACTTCTGATCTTGGTTAGTTTAAGCTATGGTTCCTATTTGGCTGAAAGAGATAATGGTGGGTTCAGTTTTGACACATATTACATTCCAAGTTAGAAAATTGGTATTAAGCACAGTTCTGGACATAACAGAGAATTGCAATTTAAACTAATCAGGATTGAGGTTCTGAAGCTGGGAAACACGTATGCCTAATTCTTTTGTCTTTTTAAACCATTGTTTACAAAATAGATTTATTATATTCAAATTGGGACCAAATTATTATTTAGACCAATTTGATATAATTGATAAATCATAAATTGAACTTTTCATCATATTAATTCTTTCTCAATTCTCATTTTGCAGTACTTCAGGGGGCAATGTATTTGTCTTCAGAAACCTCCCTCTTTAAAATTACAGAACCCAAAAGAACACAGAATTTGTCTCTTTCCTATCCAAAGAGATTAGACAATGGAGTAAAAATCATAGGTAACTGAACAAATTAAACTCAAGGTGGTAAAAGGTATGTGCTGCTGTCTAGATAGGAGAAAAGAAAAAGAAAAATTCATTCATAGATCTTTAGAGAACATTCTGGAAATATTTTTTTTTTAGTAATTGCCCTGTTATTCAAAAGCAGGGAAAAGAAAATTCTACTTCATAAAAGGCAACAATGTTCAATGGACATAGATTAATTAACAAAAGAAAAATACAAACATATGCAAGTGAGAGGGTCATCAAAAAAAGGGACTTAAAACACATTTGTTCAATGTACACCATTAAGATTACACTAGTTTTATCAGCACCTCCTCCTCTAGATTCTTTCTCATTTTTTCTCATGTGATACTTCAGTCACCACATTCAGCACTTCTGTATAGTCAAATAATGGACTAGAATCCACTGTTACAAAATTGTATGTTTCTGGTCACTGACTGTAACAAAATGAAAGTGGACTTAGCTCAGTTGGCACTAAAGAGATAGTTTCAAATGTCAGCAGAAAGGCTGAATTCTTATTTGAATGTACTACACAATAAAAGTGGCATGCAAAATGTTTCAAATTAAAAATGTTTAGTGTTAGAAACATCCTGTTTCAAGTCCAAACAGCTGTTCCAACCATTCTGGAAGTATTCTAAGATTAAAGCAGCACTTTTTAAACAAGAAATATCATTGGAATGGTATGAACAATGTTGGAAAATTTCTGGTAAGGTTGAAATGATCTAATTTGAACTTCAAATAACTGTTCTGAGTTTGAAATGGGGCACTTCAAGACATTTTTCACACCCCTGAGAAGAGGCCTTAAACAGTTATGTTTATTCTCTGATTTAACCACTTCCACATTTTTTCCACACGCTTTCCCATTGTGTTCCCACATCTGCATAGAAAATAAACATTCAAGAATATCTATAGTAGAAAGCAGAGGAGGTATCAAATTCAACAGAATACCTTACCTAGTGCCTTATCTATTACACATATTTTTAGTAAGAAGCTTTCTTCCATCTAGCTAATAGAGGTTTCTAAACATTTGCTGGGTTTGAAGACTTTTAGAGCATATACAATTGTTCTTTTCTCACAAATTGATAAGGCAGACAATCAATATATACCCCCCCCCATCACATTCTGGAGAACTCTGAGGCATTTCATTTTTGGTGCACATCACACCACTATTCCAGGGGTGTTCCAAAGGTTTTTTGTATTTAAACTGTTCAGAACCTGAATTGGTTCATGGTATTCTTGACGTGGTCTATGCAAAGCACCTTTTATCTTAATTACATTTTTACAAATATAAGTTTTTAATTTCCATTGATCATATTTCCAGTTAATTCTTAAGACTGTCTCCTCCAATACTACCTAACAGTTGGTCCCTCTGTCATTTTGTTACAAATGTATACATGCCTATTGATGCAGGAACTTACAGAATAACAAATGCTCAGAAGCAGGCTACACTTTATATTATTTTTAAAACCGTTTAAATTATTGTGTATTTTATTGCCTTGTGCTATAAAAGGTGGATTTATTGACTGTTTTATTTATTTTTTCTATTGAAGACTGTGTATTGTTCTTCTGTATACTGCTTTGGGCTCTAAAGGGTAGAAGAGCATTTTAAAAGTAAAACTAATAAATTATTATTAATAAAACACTATAAATTAACTATCCTAGCCAGGTGCCCTTTAGATGTATTGGCTTTCAACACTCATAATAACCCCCAATGGAGTGGGAAGGATGATATAAAATATGGAGATGTAACTTCTTGGGCCAAGGGATATTTTGGGGCAGTCTCTGAGGGTCACAGGGAGAGAAGCCAGTGATACTATATCACTGGAATAGCTGGAGCCAATATTTTCAGCTTGAGGGGGACATAAGACACTAATTTTGCCTTGTAAAGTCCTCCAAATGGGGGGAGGGGGAAGACAGAATTTTTATTTTAAGTGGTGAAACAGGTGCCTTAAAATTCTGCAGAGCTTCTGGTATCCATTTACCTGTTAATATCCTCCTGAAAGCCAGAACTCTGGCTCTACCCACTCCAGAGGTGCTCAGAAAGCTGCAAAAGGGGAGCTGGGTGCCTCATGCAGACTCTTGGCTGCAGATTGTGCACCTTTATTATAAATACTCAGAAGGAAGCTTCATCAAAAATAAAAAAGAAACACTATAATGGAATCAAAAGACTTAACTGAGAAACTGTGAGAAATTCAATGTGGAGAAAAAATAAATTAATGGGTACACCTGATATAGACAGAAAAGAGAGACTAGTTTTAGAAGTATTCCATAATAACGTAGGCTGCAATCTAATTTCTGAATCTTCTAATATCAATAAAAACATTCTGCAAGTTTTGCACTTACAATTACGGTACAGTGTTTTGGGCAAGTGATTAACACTTCAGGGACAGAACAATGTTCTTTACACAACAGGATTGAAAACTAAAAAAAAAAAAATCATCCACAGATAAGTTTTTCTAGAAAGCAATAATTGAGGGAGTCCTGAACTGACTATGCACATGAAGGACCAATGAAATGGTTGGATTAAAAGCCAATAAACAGATGATTTGGAAGATGCACCATTTTTCAGCTGAGAGCTGAAAATGCGGGAAAGCAGAATATAAGAAAGCAGCAGCAGCAGCAGCAGCAGCTACCACAAGGTTTGAACCACTGTAGAAAGTGGAAACCTAATTAGAAATAAAAAATAAACAAGGAAAAGGAAATGAACAGAATTACTTTGAAGTCAAAAGACAGGTGAGAAACAATATGGTTTGGGGACAAACAACACACATGGGATAAGATGAAGGGGATTCAACTTCAGCAGCTGCGCCTTGCCATTGCTGCCTTACAAGTGAGCTGACCAAGGTCCTGAAGAGACAGCATAAAGATCTTTTGGTGATGCTTACTTAGAAGGGGAAGCATTTTGTGAATGTAAACTATTGTTCACAAGAGGGAACACAGAGAATCTACTACCTTAACTTGATTGATGAGTATAGCTGAGGAGAAAATATGAGAAAGTAACAATTCAGTATGGGAAAGGGAATTAGAGTAGATTTCCACAGAGAGCTAGGGAGGGAAATTATGTCTGCTTTTAGGGATAAGCACGCTTTCAGTTAACTCAACACTCACTCTCAAACCTATGTACTGTTTGTAGCATTAAAAGGGTATACATATCACTTAATATTACTTTTTTCTACATGTTCTGTTGTATCAAATAAGTCCATATTTTACTGAGCTGTTAGAATTTTACCTTTATCACCATTACTTTCAATCCTATTTACATATTATACTAGTTTAGAGAGAAAAATATGATTTTTTTCCCAAAGGGAAAAGATTGTTGTATTACACATCAGTAGCTAGATGTGTAGCTACAGTAGGCCTTAAGCTAGAATTGATAATTTTCAGTGGCTGCTGGGTACTACACTCACTGAAATTCAAAAACTTGTGCAAACACCTATTTTTCAAAAGTGCTATATATTGCAGTATTACTTTTAAGGCACCTAGAATCCATATAAAAGCAGCTTCATTAGCAACTGAAACTATAGCAGTGACATCAGAATTTCCTTCTCGGGTAACTTTCAAAGCAAGGTTAGATGGAAGGAAATCAGTTAATTTCCCACGAAAATTAAAATGTAAAATATCATTATTGCCTTACAATTTACACATAAGAAATGGGGAAAGTAGATTCACTTTCCTATCCCTGCAATGGTAGAAATCCAATCCTTTCTACTTTTATGTTCAAACACAGCAGACCCATTATTGTGTCAATACACAACACTTAAAAATGGCTTTGTACTCAATCCACAAAATCCATCTTGTGACTGAACTGCTGCCATAAAACTCATGGCTTAAACATTTGCCTAATATTCAGATTTTCTTGCATCTTCTTCACCCCTTTTTGGTAACATCTTATTTGATGACATGTTCTGAAGAATTCAGATGCTTTAACACCCTTTTGTATTATTTTGGTCAACCCTAAAAATGAAATTGGAATTAATGTTTTAACAATATTTTTCCTTTAGCACTGGCATTTGTTTATTTATTAAATTTATATAGCTGCCCATCTCACATCTCTGACTCTGGGCAGCGTACAATAAAACAATCAAATAATCTAAAATAATATAATACAACCATTTAAAAATTTAAAACAATTAAAACACAGATATAAATAAGACTGTGGAAGAATGAACCAACAACTTACACTGTTGTTGTTGATGTTAAATTATAGTCAGAAGGCCTAATCCTTAACATGTTCTGGGTCAAGATGCATGTATACATGATTTAATTAAAAAAAAATGATATTCTTGTTGGATCCTCAACCATTTCACTGAACCTTTGAATGAAGCTTACAAATCACTTCTATGCATAGTGATGAAGAAACAAGCATTT